TGTTGTTGATTGATCTGCACTCTCTGTTCATGCACTGTGATTATTTATATTTATGTAGGATTTTGTTTTGCACTTTGAGTTGCTTTCCTTGGCCGTTATATTTAGGGACACTCAATGAACCATTTTAAATCTTGGTTTTATGTTTCTTTTCATTTCCCCTAACAAGTTCAATAAGTTTTGTAACAGTTGGTCATCTATTGAAAATAAATAAATTAAATAACTAAAATCTGTTTTTTTGTGGTATTCATCTTCAGTCCTAAATACTGTAAGTGTTTCGGCCCCCAAAGAGTGGCCCCATTCACCTATTCTGTGCAAAAAAACCAGGGGCCAATCAATGAAGTCTATTTTAGTGAACGTTGTCTGTATATTTGGAGAAAACGAGAATACACAAAGAGAAACCTAAGTGGATTGTTCATAGCATGAATGAGTTTTGAAATGATTGATTGGCCGACACTACACACTATTACTGTTTACTTGAAGACTGGACAAGAACAAACATAAAAAGTAGATGTGTCTCAGTGAGTGGAGTCACGTTATGGAACAATCTTGATGACCATTTAAGAACAGCAAAATCACTGAGAATGATAAATACCAAACAATGCTCTGAATATTCGTTACTTGGCTATAGGCTAAAACTTGGTTTCCTTTTGTTACTTGTCGTTACAGGACGTTGCTGATACTGTATCAGTTTGTACCGTATTGTTTCAGCTTGAATATTTTGTGTTTCTATGGAAACGATCCGTTTCCTTTTACTGGGTCAGGTGAAATAAGTTTAACTTCAGCCTGAACCCTTCGGTCGCATATTGTAATTCCATTGTTTTGTTGACAGTTAACTGTAACTTTGTTTCTCATGCTTGACCGAATAAACTACTACTACTACTTTGTAGGAGCACTCATTTTTTGAACGCCGTAGTTTTTTAATTTATTGTCCTTTGAACTTTGCACATTTATTTATTTGTTTACCAAATAGCTGAGATGCAGTTTGATGGTAAAAGTGCCTTAACCCAAGTTATAGAGATGCCCCAATGAGGTAGATTTCAAATCTACCTCATCAAAAAGTGATCCACCAGATGGTTGAGGAAACATTAAAGGGTTCATTTTAAAATTATAATAATAACGCCACGAAATGCCCATATAAGGAAATTGGCTCCAGCTAGCAAATACTGTAGTGGTGTCAGTCCCCTCACTACAAAAAGTGATGAATAACAAGCAGAAAATTGCTATGTATCTTAATGTGAGTACATTTTGACTGCCTTAAAACAAGATTTGCCAATGGGACAAGCAAAATCTTGTTTTAAAAAGATACAAGAAAGGTGGCTTTGTCTCATTGGCAAATCATGTTTTAAGACAGTCAGAATGTACTCAAATAAAGATAAAAACCACTTGATTGAAGTAATTATAACCTCATATTTTTTTGCAGTACTCTAATATACAGTCCGTGGAATAAACCCTCTCACCTCAACAGAGGAGCATAGTTCTTTCTGAAGCAGCCTTCTGTTGACCAAAAACCCTGGAACTTTTGATAATAATCAGCCCTTGAATCATCATCATGTAGTATTTTAATCCATTTATTTCATATTTGTCATTACATGTTTCAAAACCAACCCACCTTGATTATAAATGGTATAAACTAGTGTACTAGTGGTAATGGTGTGGCAATGCTTTCCACACCATTATTGAAAATCCACGACATGGTGGGGGAAACCTGGAGCACCTGGAGGAAACCCACCCAGACATGGGGATTATCCAAACACAGAGATTGACTGATATGTATTTTTCAGGACCAATACATTATTGATCATTATCAGGCCAAAAACAATATTAATTTGTGAAAATTATATTCAATATTCAATACAAACACTACCACGTAACTTTTTTAAACGTCTAAAGTATATGTTTATGTAATAAAAAAAATAAAATTAGTTCTTATACTGTATATATGAAAGTTCAGCTGTCATTGTTGTTTCGACCAATCAGCGGCACGGTGGCTGAGTGGATAGCACTCTCGCCTCTCAGCAAGAAGGTCCTGGGTTCGAATCCTGGTCGGACCAGGGCCTTTCTGAGTGGAGTTTGCATGTTCTCCCCGTGTCTGCGTAGGTTTCCTCCGGGTACTCTGGTTTCCCCTACCACTAAAAATATGTACAATAGTTCTGGCATGCGCCTCCTGTACTGGCCCCTCTCCCATCTCTGTGTGGAGTGAGAGACAAATGCCCAAAATTAACAATTGTAAACCGCTTTGAGACTCAGATCTGCAGTGAAAAGGCGGTATATAAATAAAAACTTACTTACTTACTCAACCGATACAAAAATTTAAAACTGAGAGAAAAATAAAAAAAGCGAACAATCATACCACTTTTATTTCGATTACTGGACTTAGCAAGAGCACGGCTAATGATCCCTCCAGACCTCTGTTAGCATGGCACTGGCACCGTTTTTATCAACAAAGGCCAATTCTACACAAGTTTTGGATGCGTGACGCTGAGCTCACTGTGACTTTTCAAACTTCTTCACCGCAAGATACACCACATTTCTCTGCAGTGTAATTAACCTTAGGAGCTGGAGGAGACTAAACGGGCGTATGTAGTTGAAATAGGGCGAAGATTAGATTAGAAAACCATCGTTGGCTAATTACTCAAATGTGTTTTCCGTGACTTGAGTAATTGGGTTTACGGCAAGAATTTCACCCAATCTAGGAAAGAAATGGTTGAGATTTGTGGAGGGACTAAGAAGTGACAACATTTGTGATTACATTTGTAGAATTGGGTCAAAAAGTTCAAAAGAATGTCTTGAATTTCAACCGTTAAGCTCACTTTTATGGAGGACCAAAAATGACTAAAGTATAAATAAATAAATAAATAAATAAATACAGGAATATATTAATAAATACATTCATTTTGGACAATAAAAACTAAATATTTACATTGATGTGTTAAATATTACTATGAAATCAAATAAATATACTTTTATTTAGGTTATTTATCAAAATCTACATGTTTTCCTTTATTTATTTATCCATTTATTGCATATATTTATTTATGTATTTCTACATTTCTTCATTTATTTATTTATGTATTTCTACATTTCTTCATTTATTTATTTATGTATTTCTACATTTCTTCATTTATTTATTTATGTATTTCTACATTTCTTCATTTATTTATTTATGTATTTCTACATTTCTTCATTTATTTATTTATGTATTTCTACATTTCTTCATTTATTTATTTATGTATTTCTACATTTCTTCATTTATTTATTTATGTATTTCTACATTTCTTCATTTATTTATTTATGTATTTCTACATTTCTTCATTTATTTATTTATGTATTTCTGTGTTGCCGTATGCTAATTAGGCGGGCGGTGCTGAACTCAATCTAGAACAGGATTGGTGGGCAGTAGGTCAGCCAGGGCAACCAGACAGAAGCAAAGTTAAGCCTAGCGTACATCGACAGAGAAACTGGAGACAAGTTGCAAGGCGGCTTTTGGCAACTGAGAGGAGATGATGGAGATGATCAGTTGAAATCGGTCAATGTGCGCGCTCTTACAACTGGAGATGAACAGTCGGTCTCCAGTTTCAGTCAGTTGCCCGTGTTCTACTTTTCGGCAACTAGTTGTCCTCAGTTTCGGAGATATGACCCAATGTGCGCGCTCCATGCGCCGCTCCGACAACGTGTGTGTATTGCGTGTATTGCGAGCCCGCAACAGTTTATGTCAGAAAACACACTGTAGTTGAGGCCAGTTGCTGTCGATGTACGCGCTGTTATTCCCGAGACTGGTCTGCAACTGGGAGTTGCCCGTTTTCGTCAGATTGTCGATGTGTGCGGGGCAGCAACTCATATGCGACGGATATATTCAGTTGCCAGTCCGATGTACGCTAGGCTTTAGCCTTCTCGGTTTGTGAGAGGATGTGAAGCTGCTGTATAGCTTGTTGAAGAGCGTCCAGCACAGTTGCATCAAAGTCTACCTCTGGGTCAGCACTGTGATGAACTAAAACATTTAATAGTCTTTCCAGCCGAAAGAGTAGATAGTCCTCAGGTGCATTATGCTCAACATCATTAACATCATTTGCTAATGCTCTTAATTGATGAGCAATGGCTCCTAAAAAACTTACATTCGAAACTGCCATCATACCACACAAAAGTGCACAGAGGATCTCTAGCTAGCTAACAGAGTACCGTAATGTGATGCAGTAATGATCGAGACCAGAGTTCACGCAATCCTAACCAATCCTGTTCTAGATTGAGTTCAGCACCGCCCACCTAATTAGCATACAGGAACACAAAAATACATAAATAAATAAATGAAGAAATGTAGCGACACAGAAATACATAAATAAATAAATGAAGAAATGTAGAAATACATAAATAAATAAATGAAGAAATGTAGCGACACAGAAATACATAAATACATAAATAAATGAAGAAATGTAGAAATACATAAATAAATAAATGAAGAAATGCAGCGACACAGAAATACATAAATAAATAAATGAAGAAATGTAGAAATACATAAATAAATATATGCAATAAATGGATAAATAAATAAAGGAAAAAATGTAGATTTTGATAAATAACCTAAATAAAAGTATATTTATTTGATTTCAGAGTAATATGTAGCATATCAATGTAAATATTTAGTTTTTATTGTCCAAAATGAATGTATTTATTAATATACTCCTGTATTTATTTATTTATTTATTTATTTATACTTTAGTCATTTTTGGTCCTCCATACACTTTTTGACAAATAGATCAATAATGTTGTTTAATACTTTTTAGCAGAGAGCCAACACAGTCTCATACTTTCAGTGGGAGGCATGGCATCCAAGTTATTTACTGTGAATATGTGTGATTTTGAAACAGTCGTACTATCCATGCCTACTTACATGTGAGTTTTGGGAGTCAGGTAATTAAGCAGTACTAGCTTGGTAAAATTTTTGTCTTATTAATAATTAAACATTAAACATTTTTTTTATTCTCTATGTCCTTGTACATGTGCAGCCATCGAGACGCAGAGCAGCAGTTCGGAGGAGTTGGTCCCGAGTCCCCCCTCGCCCCCTCCCCCGCCTCGAGTCTACAAGCCCTGCTTCGTCTGCCAGGACAAGTCCTCGGGCTACCACTATGGAGTCAGCGCCTGTGAGGGCTGCAAGGTACTTATGCCATCAGATCTCAGTATACATACAGAAATCTCTTGTCTCAGTATACATGCAAGTGAAGACCTCTCTTGCCTCAGTATACATGCAGGCCTGTCTTGTCTCAGTACACATGAAGGTTCAGACCTCACTTGTCTCAGTATACATGAAGGTTCAGACCTCACTTGTCTCAGTACACATGAAGGTTCAGACCTCACTTGTCTCAGTATACATGCTGGTTCAGACCTCACTTGTCTCAGTATACATGAAGGTTCAGACCTCACTTGTCTCAGTACACATGAAGGTTCAGACCTCACTTGTCTCAGTATACATGCTGGTTCAGACCTCACTTGTCTCAGTATAAATGAAGGTTCAGACCTCACTTGTCTCAGTATAAATGAAGGTTCAGACCTTACTTGTCTCAGTATACATGCAGGCTCACACCACTCGTGTCTGAATAAAACCAATGCAAAATGTTACTTTACTAAAAATCCCGGCTTTCTATACTTTTATTTCCCTTGTCTGTTTACTAATCCATCGTCGTGGCAGCCGTCAGAGCGTATGTGTCTTGACAGCACTCACATACTATTGTCAGCTGGACAGTGATACAGAGGCCCAAAGAATTCTGATTACCTGCTCCATATTTATCGGCCTCCCTGCCTGTCAGTCCGTTTTATGGGTTTAAAACTTATTTTTGTTTCATCGAAAGTAAATAGAAACACATTTTTAATATCTCAAAAGTGGTGAAATACATTGAGAAAGAATGCAGTTGTTATCTACAAACGTGAGAAGGGTCCAAAATGTTATGAAATTATTTAACAGATTTTTGTCAATGCTCTTTTTTAACTTTCTGTATCAAAAGCAACCGGAAGTTTCCCATAAAGAAGTCTTCCCTCTTCTTTCTCTCTCTGCGAGCTGTCCTGAAATGTCCTTTTACACCACTGCCTTCGTGACACAAATCTTCACTTTTTGGCAGCTGTTACCTAGCAACGCTTCACTGCTGCCAAATATACAGTGCACACACGCCTTACTGTACATTTTGGGGAGGTATTTTTGTCTGCTATTAAAGCTTGGGTACCTAACTTCTGAATTATTTAAACAACACTTTTTGTTTATTCCAACAGTAAGCGTTTCGTAAAACCTAAAATGTGCATCTTATTGAAAAACGTATTTTAAATAACATACACACATACACAGCCAGGTTATAATTTGTAAAATAAAAAGGGCATTTCGGTCACCCTTTGACGCTCTGCGCTGTGAGCTGATTGGCTGAATGAGGAGTGGACGGTCCTCTCTTTTTCCCTGTTGTTTGGAAAAGCTGAACTAAAGATGTGACAGAGGCCAACAATACAAGCATGTGGATAGAAACAAACTGTTTTGAGAGTGAGGAGCTGTAGCTAGATGAAGTACCCCAGCTTTAAGGTATACATAGTTCCCACAGACCAATGAATGTCACATGACCTCCTCGGAGACGCCATCTTTGATGGCACGCTGCTGTGTTTGTGCATTCCATTAAACAGAAGAATGAGAATAAATGTAGATATTCAAACGCAAATTGGAAAAAAAGGGCAACTTTTGAGCAAATAATTGTATATTAATACAATGGCACCACAGTTTAACGTGCTACGGACATGTTTTACATATTTGATCAAATTATGCAGCAAAAATTAACAAGCAATGCAAACATTTCTCAAAAACTTTAGATTTAATACCAGTTGGAGCTCCATTTAATTATTTTAATTATATTAACAATTAATTTAATTAATGCTAATGCCACACGGACACTCTGGATTGCTGTTATTGTTTATTTCCGCGTTTTTGACCGTATGTTTTGGTGAATGGTGGGCAACTGATTTTTCCAGGCGTAAAGAGCAGTTTATTTTATGACACAGATCTTTTTACAGAAGCAATGCTGTTTGTGAACATTGTTTTAGCCCACCATAGAACTATTATTATCTATTTAATACATTTACGTTGCCCTCGAGAGCCTCGGACGCGACACCGATCCTCCTCATAATAAAGTAATCTAAATAATGAAACTCTCAAGTTACCAGATATCAGCATACACAAGTTAGTACTGAGTAAATTACGTCTGTCAACACATTATGAGATACGATACGCACCTGACACAAAGTGCTCCGAGCATATTCTTGCGTGTTTTGAGGGAGTTTCTTGCCTGTTTATCTTCGCAAGCCATAACCTCCGTGGTTGTTCTGACAAAAGCTTAGTCTTCTCACATTCATGAAGTCTAATGATGGGTATACTGTAAAATCCAAGTTTAACAGAACCTCCGGCACGATTTGAACATCCATTGACCCAGCAGGAGATGACCATTTTCAACTTTATCACGACATTAACACGTTTCAGCTTCTTTTTCTATTGTTTTGCCCACAGAATGCCAACACAAATGGCGCCGGGTCGGCAAATCCCCGTATGTAGTGACGTCATGTGGGAACTATGTATAATCTCTGCCAAACATATTTTTGCTCATTATAAATCCTGACTTTGATTCAAACAACTTAAAGCATTAAAGTACAGCAGCATATCAATTCAATTAAACTTCATGTATAGAGCTAGAAAATGTAATACAGAAACATGCACAGGAATAGGAATTGCACAGAAAGTCATCCCACTGAGTTAAAAGCAAGCCCCGGTGATCCAAGATGGCGCCCTATTCAGATCAATAGCTTGTGCTCAGCGGCCCATGGGACAACCATTGGGCCCAAATGATATTTGGGCATCGTCTGGTGGACGAGATCCCATGATGCTTTGCGCCAAGTACGTGCGTGGCTCTCATGCACAAGCACAGAGGGGCTTTGCTGTGCTCTGACCAATCAAAGGCTGGTGATCAGAGCAGAGCCAGAGTGGAGCCAGAGCGGGAGCCAGATGAGCAGAGTTTGTTGCATTAAAGTGTGGGTTTAAAGAAAACAAAGATTTAACAACAAAAAGTTCAGGATGACAAAGGACACTAAAATGTCCACAAAATCTGTTCTTTGTGAGAGCTGTAGGTTCTCTGTCAGCAGAGGTCGAGCTGTTTTAGTTTACACTAAGTTCTATGGGACTATGGGAAATTTGCAGTACCATGGGCGCCCCCTGTGCCCATAGATGGGACAGCTCTAAGCTAGTAATACCCTATCCAGATATTATAATAGATTCATGGTTAAAAGTCAAAGTAAAAATATGAGTCGTAACTTCTATCAAGCTACAGATTTGTTTTCACTTGAGCCAAAATGCCTGACCTGTGATGCCAAATTTTTTACAAAAATATGCAGTTCATGAATGCGGGAGAATGTGCACAAAATTGTTCTAAAAGCAACTTTGACTGTTTTTGTGGTGACGTTTTTGTTACTCTATAGGCACAATAAAATTAATATTAAAAAAAAAAAAAAAAAAAAAAAAAAAATTCTTTTGCTGTTGTAAGGAACTGACACCAATTTCTTTGAATGGAGATGATTCAATCTGTGTCATGTGCCGACGGGTTCAGCCTGTCTGCATGTGCCAACCTCCATGTCGGATCTCATATTTGACTGAACAGAACAAGTTTGAGTCTAGATTCAAATATGAAAACAAATTATACGGTATCTTTCTTGTTTCCTGTGAGCTTCCGCTGCTCGGTCTGTGTGACGCGCTGGAATGTTTGGAATCCTTTGGAGGTTGTTGGCATCGGGACAGGGGAGCGTGGATAGCCTCATTCCCACTGCGCAACAACACATTTGACCGTAAACCTATAGTGACGTATAGTCTTCTGCCGTGTTCAGTGTGACCAGTCTAACCAAATATACCCATTTTAAATCACATGAATCAAATCAAAGGTGGATCATGTGAAAAAGGTTGGAAAAGTGCACAAGCCGATGGTAAGAGTGAAGCCTCATTCATGTAATTTATTTATCTATTTATTTAAAACATGCACAAGCAAATAATACAAACAATTATTCACGGAAAAATAGGTTCTATTTTTTTTTTTTTAGCTTTTGTGACGCTTGAACAAGAACGTCCAAAGTATGTGTGTTTGTATACATCATTTTGTGGGGACTGACCTTATTTCTGTCAAGGAGCAACGACTCTACTCCGAGCTCTGATCATTTGAAAAGCCTTTTTGGCAGTTGGATAGATATGTATACACTCTATTCACAATCAGAGTTCTCAAAATCTGAAAGTTTTATTTTAATCTAGTCTAAACTTTTTTTCACTGCAAGAATAATACAAAACTGTAATATATTGTAACTTTTGAACCCTGACAGGGGGATCTTTGCTCTAAGTCAAAAATCCAGCCTTATCCGGCCTGCATCGTGTAAAAATAGAACCGTTCACACCAGAGCGACCCTGTGACATGCGGACTCCACAGGGATTAGGCACGAGATTACCATTTTTCCTTTTTTTTATGCTGCCTCCATGACAACTGTATTATTGTCTCTGTCGGCTCAAGTCCGTGGCACTTTGGGCTTTAGACCAGCTCCTCGTTCTGCCATGACACATAATATAATGTGATATTTATATGTAAAAAGTTAAGCTTGAGAAAAACATTGGTGAAATAGGTCCGGGCCCCCGTCAACAGGCTGATAATCCAATGTGGCCCTCAGGTGGAAAAGTTTGCCCAAGCCTGCACTTTAGGGCAACAATAGCAAGAGTGCATAACATGTGCTATAGTCTCCTTCATGGATCCGTGTTTGGAGTTTTTCACATGTTGGCGTGTGCGGGCGGCAGGACCACACAGAGGTCACATGTGTAAATGGACAGCGCTCATGCTACACGTTTGGAGAGAACCAGGGCACATATGCTCCTCCAGACGCACATGCATATTCACCAGCACCGGGAGATCTGACAGGCCACGTCAAGAGCACCCAAAGTCACCCCTCTGTCTCCAACTTTAGCCATGCCCTTCATAACTGTCCCTGCGGTCACAAGGAAAACTGTCTTTGCGGATTCAGACTGGGATTTTAAAGCTGGGTAGTTTTCCTTTTTTCAGAAATATGTATTATGTTACAAAAATAAAGACCAATGGCTCTATGTATTTTGTC